TGGCAGCTGGAAGGGACTGGTGGGGGCTCAGCTGAGGGGTTGGCAGGGCTTGGCTCTAGCGATGGCACGGTACCCACTTTTTTGGCACCAAGGAGCGTAAAGGTCTGCCGAGCATGGGCTGGGTCACTGCCGTGGGGCCGGGGCAGGATTAGGCCATGCAAGGTGGCGAGGATGGGGAGATGGAGGATGGAAAGGACGCATGGTGACGGGGCTGGAGCTCTGTGAGGAGCAGTGGCACAGCTCTGCTCCTGGGGCTGTCTGCCATGGGCACCCTTCCCAGGGGGGTCTGCAGGACCGGGGCCGTGCTGGGCTACATCTCTGCATGCACCTCAGGGGGGCAAGACCTCCCCCTTGGCTCTGACACTCCCTGGGCTGCATCCCAGCCGGTCCTCACCGTGCTGACTCTTCCTTCTCCCCCTCAGGTGCTGAGAGTCCCCGTGTCGCTGCCGATGTGGGAGCAGTTTGTGATCACTTGGTCCTGAGCCCACGCCAGACCTGCGCTGCTTGGTGGGGAGAGGCAATGCTGCTCCCTCCGGCTCTGGGGCCGAATCCGTCCCATCCTTTGTAAAACCAGAGCTGCTGCTGCTCTTCCCATGCAACGTGGCTCCTGGGCTTTGGCTTCCCTTCTGGCTACTGTGGGTTCATTGGAGATGTGTGCACTGGACTTGCATCGGGGCGAGGGGGCTTGCACAACCGCTGGGGACAGGGAAACCCTCATCTCCTCCAAAATGGGGAAAAAAAAGACCCAAGTGCCTTGTGAGGCAACAAACCTGTTAACATGCGGAACTGGTAACCTGTTGAGGGACTGCGGGGAGTCTCCTGGCTGTGTTTTTGGGGAGGGGGATCCGCGCAGAGGGGCAAGGGAGCAGTGCTGTGAATAAAGTTGCTGTTTGCTGGGAGCAGCCCCAGGCCACATCTGTGCCCGTCTCTGCCGGTGCCTGTCCTGAAAGTGCTGCTGAGCCCTGGCTCAGCTCTCCTCCCCAGCTGGGACCCCCGCCTCCGTCCCTGCCTTGGGGCCTCCAGCAGGACCACCTGCACCCCTTGCAGGCTACACCCCATTTCCCAAAGCACTGGGAGTCTCCCGGCTGCTCCCGCAGCCCCAGCCATGTCGTGGAACCCCTTGGTCCGTCCATCCCTGCTGGCTCCGAGCCCAAGGACTGCTGCCCTCCGGGGGCTGCCAGCCCCGGCCTGCACTGTGTGGCTCCGGTCAAGCCTCTGCCACGCAGGGAGGGAGCAGATGCCATCATCCCTGGGCCTGTGCACCTCAGGGACTCTGGGAACTTTGTATATTTTGTTAAATTAAATTGTACCCCTGCCACCTCCTCGCTGGTACCCACTGGCCCGTTTTCCCCCAGGGGTGTGCAGCCACCCCTTTGCAGCAGGGCTGGCAGCAGGCAGGGCTGCACGGAGACTGCGGCACCGGGAGCTGGCAGGGACGTGCTCAGCTCCAGGTAAAAGTGGAGACCTCTCCCCCAGAGGTTTTATTGAGGAGCAACTGTGGCTCCTCTGGCCGAGGATAAAGGCACGAGGATCCCTGAATGTTCCAGAGCCAGGCGGTGTTTGTGATACAGAGAGCAGAGCCTCGGGGTGTCACCCAGGGATTTGGGACTGGCCCAGCCAGGATCCTGCTCTGACCCCCTTGTGCCCGATGGGCAGCGCACGGCTGTCCCATGGCAATGGGGGATGCGAGGCAGAGCTGAGGCTCACAGCTCGTTGTGCAGCGGCCGGCACTGGGGGCTCAGGTTCTTCTCCAGGACAGCATCGGGGGCACACACCCAGGGGTCACCTGTGTCCCACTGCCACTTCAAGAGCTGCGTGCGAAGCAGCTGGAAGATGGCGGCGTAGCGGGGGTCGGGGGCCAGGTTCTGGCTCTCGGTGGGGTCGCGGCTGCAGTCAAAGAGCTCCCAGCGGTCCCTGTAGTAGTACTGGTGCAGGGTCTTGTTCCAGTGGGTTGGCTGCCCGGCCCTGGTGCGGTTGAGCAGGTCTTGGAAAGTGGGCGAGATGTAGAAGTCCTGGTCGATGGGAAAGGGCATCTTGTAGTTGAGGTTGTGAATGAGGCGGAACTGCTGGTGCTGGATGGCTCGCATGGGGTAGTACATGGTCACTTCGTGGTGGCTCTGGCTGCTGAAGGCGGTGGCCCAGGGCTGCTCCGACTCCAGTGCTGGCAGGAGAGACTTTCCGGTGAGCTGCACCTGCTTCATGCCAAAGATGCTGTAAGAAGGGTAGGGGATGGAGAACCAGTCCAAAATGGTCGGCGTGAGATCTGGAGGGGAAGAGAAGGGTGAGAGGAGGGGCTAGCGCCCATGGGAGGAAACTCAGCCCTGGAGAGGTCCCCGGGGTCTGCTGCCATGTGGGCTGTGGGTGGTCCTGGGATGAGCTGCAGAGCTGAGCCCTGGGATGATGTCCCTGCAGGGGACCCTGCTGCTCCGTCGTCCCTCCTCTCCCTTCCCAGGGCTGGCCGTGCCAATGCCGAGGGCTGCAGGCTGTCCTCCAGGAGAGGACCCTGGATTTTGGCGTGGGGAGGGTGGGGACCAGCTCATGCCCCCCCGGCACAGCTCTGCACGCCTCTACTCCTTCCTGGGGGGCACGGGCTCTTACCTAGGAGGGTGGCGAAGGCCTGGCTGACCTGCCCCCAGTGCTTGGTGTGCTCGGGGGAAGAGATCAGCAAGGGCTCGGCAGTGCCCGACCGGTAGAGGTTGGTCCTGCCACTGGGGAAGGGGATGCCGTTGTCAGAGGTGTAGATCACCAGCGTGCTGTTGTGGAAGCCAGCACGCCGCAGCTCCTCCAGGACCAGCCCGATCCCTGCGGATGGAGGGGCAGAGCTGAGGGGGGGTGGGAGGGACCGCAGGGCTCGCCGG